CTTGAGCCACAGGCGTCGAGCCCAACAACTTGAAACTCTTGGGCTCAAGCAATTCTCTTGTCTCAGCCTCCCAAGTAACTGAGACTATAGGCACCTACCACAATACCCCACTATTTTTTAGAAATGAAGGTCTCACTCTTATTCCAGCTGGTCTTGAACTTGAAAGCTTCAGCCATCCACCTGCCTTGGCCTCCTAGAATGCTGGGATTACAGGTGTGAGCCACTTGGGCATCCAGAGATGGGAGTGTTAGCTCTGTCCCCCAAAGTGAGCTAAGGAGCAAGGGCTGGGGCCCTGCCAGGGTCTCTGATGGGGAAGACAACAGGGGCCAAGCACAGGGGGTCCCCAGTCACAGTGAAGAGAGGTAGTCTGTGCCCACCCTAGGCTCCCTGCTGACAGCTGTGCTGGGAACTGGCCTGAGCATGGCCATCATGTGGTCCTGGGGCGGAGGCACCAATGCCTTTCCCCTCTCGGGAGGCAGCAGACAAGCACATTCCAGGGATGGAGGCTGTGGTGCACGTCCAAAGCCTCTCTGGCCTGGCTGGAGGATTAGTGAGGCAACTCTGCAGCCCCTGGGGGAGGTAGCGAAGGCTTAGCAGCCTGGGTTTCCCAATCTCTCACTGTCCCCTTTCTCCAGGTGCCAGAAAGCCACTGGCCTGGAACCTAAAAGAGCAGTTGCTGGGCCAGTGCACTATCCCCTCAGGCTGTCCTGCCCTGGGCTGGCCTCCAGCCAGATCTCCCAACAGTCCTCTGGTCTCCTGCTTTGTGCAGAGCGCTGCTGCTTGCATTTGTCAGACATTAAGAGGTTGGATGGTCAACTTTCTGCAAACCAAGTCAATTCACAATTTCACACAGACTGAAAAGAATCAGGGATAGGGCGGTGCCTATGGCTCAGTGAGTAGGGCACCGGCCCCATATACCAAGGGTGGCGGATTCATATCTGACCCCGGCCAAACTGCAACAAGAAAATAGCCGGGGCTTGGCGCCTATGGCTCAAGTGGCTAAGGCACCAGCCACATACACCCAAGGTGGGAGGTTCAAATCCAGCCCGGGCTGCCAAAACAACAACGACAGCTGCAACCAAAAATAGCCAGGCGTTGTGGCAGGTGCCTGTGGTCCCAGCTACTTGGGAGGCTGAGGCAGGAGACTCGCTTGAGCCCAGGAGTTGGAGGTTGCTGTGAGCTGTGATGCCACAGCACTCTACCCAGGGGGATAGCTTGAGGCTCTGTCTCAAAAAAAAAAAAAAAAGAAAGAAAGAAAAAGAAAATAGCCGGGCATTGTGGCAGGCGCCTATAGTCCCAAGCTACTTAGGAGGCTGAGGCAGGAGAATCACCTAAGCCCAAGAGCTGGAGGTTGCTGTGAGCTGTGACGTCACAGCACTCTACTGAGGGTGACAAAACTGAGACTCTGTCTCTAAAAAAATAAAAATAAAAATAAAGAATCCTGGACAAAACTACACAAATACAGGATTTGTTTGTTTTTGTTTTGTTTTTTTTTTTGAGACAGAGTCTCACTTTATCACCCTGGGTAGAGTGCTGTGCTGTCACAGCTCACAGCAACCTCCAACTCTTGGGCTTAAGCGATTCTCTTACCTCAGCCTCCCACACAGCTGGGTGTACAAGCACCTGCCACAGCACCCGACTATTTTTTTGTTGTAGTTGTTATAGTTGTTTGGCAGGCCCTGGACCAGGTTCGAACCTGCCTGCCCTGGTGTATGTGGCTGGTGCCCTAGCCACTAAGCTACAGGCACTGAGCCACAGGTTTTGTTCTTACGTCATCCATGCAACAGGACACTTTGCCAACTGTTCAGCAGGTCAGACTGCTTATAGCCAGCTTCTAATGAGGCCTTCACAGGGGAGATGGCTGTCAGGTAGTGTCCATGGCCTGGAACACCAGGTTCCCGCATCTTTGCTAGAATAAAGGCAACCTGTTGCGGTTGGGAAGGCTTTGGGCACCAGTCCTTGCTCTGATCCAGTAGAAACTCCAAAGCCAAAAACTCTAAGCTCTCTCAGCTCAGCTCAGCTCACCTCCAGATGGACAGAGGGCCCTGTTTGGGCTCACTTGGCTCAAACCAGGCCAAGTCACTCCTAGAAAGGGCCAGCCTTCTGATCGTTATGTCCATACTGCCAGTGGCAGTTTCATCCAGTGTGCTTTCACCTGATCCTCTGACAGGGAGGACAGGCAAAAATTTCTGCCACAAGAAAAAAGGCAGGGCTCAATCAGCTAAGGCGCCACCCACATACACCTAAAGTGGCAGGGATTAGCCCGGGCCCGCCAAGCAACAATGATGGCTGCAACCAAAAAATGGCCAGGCGTTGTGGCAGGCGCCTGTGGTCCCAGCTACTTGGGAGGCTGAGGCAGGAGACTCGCTTGAGCCCAGGAGTTGGAGGTTGCTGTGAGCTGTGAGGCCATGGCACTCTACCCAGGGGGATAGCGTGAGGCTCTGTCTCAAAAAAAAAAAAAAAAAAAGAAAAGAAAAGAAAAAAGACAGTCTTCATGTAGTAGGCGGTTTCTCCATCCTCCCTGTTGTGCAGAAAGTCAGTCTCTGAGCTTTATGTAAACAACAGAAAAAACTACCCATCTCCTCCCAAATGGCCAGGAGTCCTAACAGACTAGCCTCTTACCCTGAGTCCTGAAAATGTAGGGATGCTGGGAATCATCCCCAGCAGGGTCCCTGCAGGTGTGGCCTGGCCTGAGGCTCCCAGTGCCACAGTAAGTGGCTAGTGTAAGGAGCGCAGAGAGGCATTGTGTCCCCTCCAAGGCTCAAGGGGCTCATCTTGGGCAGGTGAGAAGACCTGCGGCAGGCAGGGAGCTGTAGGTGATGTCATTTCTCTTGCAGCGTTTGGCCTGAGGTTTTGTGGGCACCTACAGCATCTGACAGTAAGATTCAGAATGGCCTGCTGGTGACCTTGCTACCTCCACATTCCTGCAGGGGGTTGCTGGCCAGTCTTGGTTTTGCCCTTACTCATGCCTTTTGTGACCACTCAGAGGGTGCTACTAGTGTTATGGACTGAATTGTGTCCCTCCAGATTCACATGGAAGTTGTAACCCCCAGTACTTCAGAACAAGACTTTGTTTGGAAACAGGTTACAATCCTGGAGCAGGTGGGACCATCGCCTGTGTGCCAGAGTCCTCATAATAAGAGACTTAGACACAAACAGGAGAATGCCATGTAGAGACGAAGGCAGAGCTCAGGGTGATGCTATAAGCCAAGGGACACCAGAGTCGCAGGCAACCACCAGATGCTGGAGAGAAGCCTGGTACCATCCTCTCTCAGAGCCTCAGAAGGAACAGCCCCCTGACACCTTGACACCATGACCTCATGAGGTTTTCCAGCCTGTAGAACTGTGAGGGAGTTCTGATAGGGAGGGCAGGCAGAACTTTCTGCCATATGAAAAGAGGCAGCCTTCATGTAGTAGTCTAAGTCCCCCCTCCCTCCCTGGTCTTGGGCCTGAGCAAACTCATGCAGCCAGCTTCCAGTGCTTCTGCACCACCAATGGCCATCTTTGACCCCAAAGGCATGTTCCTGTGTCAACCCCTGGCCCAGCTCTGCTCCAGTGCCCATCTTCTTATCCCCTTCTCCTGGCTCTTCTCATGTCCTGCAAAGATGAGCCTGATGGAACAGTTTTCTTTCTTTTTTTTTTTTGAGACAGAGCCTCAAGCTGTCCCCCTGG